TGTCACAGGTTCTCTAGCACAATCACCAAGTCTGTAATTTTCATCAATAGGGGAATTTGCAGGCTTTGCTCCCAACTTCCTTGTATCTTGTAGGAGATCTAATATATTTCCTTTGAGAAATGAAGAAGCCCTTTTGAGAACAAGCAACCTCAATTCTAAGAAAATAACATAATTGTCCTAGGTTCTTTCACTTTCTGAATCTCAAAGTCCCAGTCCCCTGTAATAACTATGTCATCTACATACACGACTACGACCACAATTTTCTCTTGGTTTCTTTTTACAAATAGAGTATGGTCAGACTGACACTACTTGAACCCAATCTGTTGAAGAGCCAAGTGAAATATGCTAAACTAGGCCCTAGGGGATTACTTAGCCCATACAGGGATTTCTTTAGTTTGCAAACTTTTCCTTTACACACTTGTGCTATAAACTCAAGAGGATGAATCATATACACTTCTTCTAGATGATTCATTCAAGAAGCATTTTTAATGTCCAGTTGATGAAGCTCCCAATCAAAGTTAACAACCAAGGATAAACATGATCCGAATAGAGTTCATTTTAGCAACTAGGGCAAAGGTTTCTGCATAGTCGACCCCATATACCTGTGTACCCTTTTGCAACTAACGTAGCCTTATACCTCTCAACCATCCCATCAGCCTTGTGTTTCACCATGAATATCCACTTACACACCATTGGCTCTTTGCCTTCAAGAAGATCCACCAACTCCCAAGTGTTGTTTTTGTGTAGAGCACAAATTTCCTCCATTGCATTTGTCCTTCAGGGATAGACATGGCTCTTGCAAAACTTTTGGAAATGGAGACACAATCAAGGGCAGCTAGAAAAGCAGGGAACGAGGGTAAGATATTTTCATAAGACAATAAATGGGCAATAGGATGTTTAGTAGTGCATGATCTAACACCCTTTCTATGAGCAATATGAAAATTAAGGTCATTAGTAGAATTATCAAATAGTAACATCAAGGGGAACAAGGGTACCTGGATCCGCCTCCAAGGAGTTGGATGATGCTGGATGCACAATTTTTAGCTGATTCACACCCTTCAAACTCAGCTATCCCTTATGGTGCCTCAAAAAAACATGAAATGGAGTGAGCCAAGAATGAAAGGGAGTGGAACTTGAGGAACTTGCCTCTCCTCCTGCACCCTATTCTCCCCAAGGAGAGGTCGGGAAGAAAGGATCAAACTCAAAAAATGGCACATCCATTGATACAAAGTACTTGCAAGAAACAAGATTAAAGCATTTGCAGCCCTTCTGAGAGGACAAGTAACCCAAAAAAATAAAAAACAAAAGAGATTGAGTGAACAAGAGTTAATGTGGGGCCTTATATTGTAAGAGATGAGATGACATGAAATTGATGACATAAGCCACAGCCATCATAGCATCAACCCAAAACTGCTTGGGAACATTCATGTATAGCATCATACTTCAAGCAACTTCAAGAAGATGTCGGTTCTTCCTTTCTGCAACACCATTCTGTTGTGGTGTTTTGGCACAAGAGCTTCAATGAAGTGATCAATGAGGTGCAAAGAAGTCAATTAAATTATGACGAAAATATTCTTTCACAATATCCGATTGGAAAGTCAGTATCTCAACATGAAACTGAATAAAAACCATGTGATGAAATTCATTCACAATTTTGGGTACCTCTTCTCGGGAATGCATAGGATATATTCAGTTATATCTAGAATAGTCATCAATGAAGCTGGTAAATACCTGTATCTGCCCTCAGTAGGTATGTTCATTGGGCCCCAAACATCAGAGTGCACAATATGGAAAGGCAAATGCATCTTTTATTACTGTAAGGAAAATTTGTTCTACAATGTTTGCTCAATTGAGAAGTTTAACATTGCAATCTAGAAGTAGACACACACTAAAATAAATCAGGAAACATAACTTTCAAGGACTCAAAAGGCAAATGACCATCGCGATTATGCTACAACCACACTTGACTCTTAGTAGACTAACTCACAAACTTACTCAAAAGACTCATAGGAGATGATGTCGTAGGACCAGCTTTATTCTCCAAAATGTAGAGGCCATCAACCATGTCTCCTTTACCAATCATCCTCCCCGAGGCCAAATCTTGAAAAACACGAGCGAGGAAAAAAGCTTACACAACAATTTAAGGATTGACTGATACTACTAATGGATAGTAAATTAATAGGAAGTTTTGGAACATGGAGAGCATGGGGAAAGATAAGACCACCGGGCATAAATAATGAACCTTGACCAGCATTGGTGGAGAATGATCTATCCGCTAGTCTAACTTTATCCCTACCAAAGAGAAGAGTGTAGGGCTGAAATAAATTTGACTTACCAGTCATGATTAGATGCCCTTGAGTTAATGATCCAAGGGGAATCTGGAATGGAGCTAGACACATGAAATGCAAAAGCACTTTTACCAGATGTAGACAAAAATGAGGTAGAGGGGGTAGGATCCGACCTATCCATCTGTCCCAAGGTCCTACCATATAGTTCCAAGTGATCTCTGAAGGAATTAATGATATCTTCTTTAGGGTCAGAACCAATGTTTTAAAAGGCGTGGGAGGCATACGCCTGGAGGCATCTCCAGGCAAGGCGCTCCCAAAATGCCCTAAGGCATATGCCAAAGGCGTTGACACCTCTGAGGCGTACTCCTCGGGTGCAAGAGGCATACGCCTCATGTGCTTTTTTCATGCCCCTCATGCACACCTCATATAAAAAGACTAAAAAAAATGAAAAGGAAAAAAAAAGGAAAGGAAAAGAAAAGAAAGGGAAGGGAAAGAAAAAGAAAAGGAAAGGGAAGGGAAGAAAAGATAAGGGGAAAGAAAGCGGTCTACCCCCAGCCCCTTTGGCTGAGGGGCTTCGCCCCCCAGAACCCCCCTTTCAACTAGTGCTATGCATTTTTATTCTTCTTAATATAAATATATATATATATATATGTATATATATTAAAAATAAAGAAAAAATGAGATCCCATCGTCCTCTTCTTCCTCCTCCTTCCTCCTAACTCTTCTTAAGGAGGCGTAAGCCTCCTTGTGTTTGAGAAGCTTACGCCTCTCACGTTCTGGACTACACGTCATGCCTCCGCATTTTAAAACATTGGTCCGAACCAACAGAATGTTCTTGGGAAGTACCAATAGTCGAATTACTTGACCGAGAATCCATAGTGTCAATCAGCTCGAACAAGAGAAAGAACACAAATTTGGGGTGTGTCTAGTAGTCAACCACACCAAGAAAGGACTATTTATATTAAAGAATGTAAAAGGACATTTCTGTCCTTATAGTACAAAAAGTAATGTACAAGATATAAAGAATAGAAAAGCAATGATACAATAAGAAAGTAAAATTACTATTCAGCCCTCACTATCTCTATCTCTACATTCCCCCTCAAACTGATGGAGGGGCACCATCATCAGTTTGTCCATGAGAAAGGAATGTCAGGCCCTAGTCATAGACCAGTCTTGTTTGGGTAGCAGAATTTGGAAACTTTCCTCCGGCTTTTTCGCTTGTTCTTCTTCTTTAATATCCTCCTACAGTCATCTAACCTTATTAGGAAACTTTCAAACAAAGAAGGTTTGGTGTAGCCCTATGCCTTCAAAAATTAGGGCTTTCTGCTAGGAGGTGGTACTCCAAAGAATCAATACCCTAGATTTGCTGCAAAGAAAAAGGCCACATCAATGCCTTTCACCCATGTTTGTAGCCTTTGCTTGGGGGCTGGTGAGACGATCACACATCTATTGATTTCCTGTCATTTGCGTCCTTTATTTGGTCTCGGTTCTCTTCTCCCATTGGTTGCAAGTGGACTCCTCCCCCAGATGTGATAGGCCTCTTTGACCCAAATTTTCAGGTAACCAAAGAAGCAGGGAAGAATTATGTGGACAGCAACAAGAGCAGCAGTGCTTTGGTCAATTTGGGAAGAAAGAAACAACAGAATTTTCAAAAGCAAGGTTAGATCCAAGGAGGAAATTGTAGGAGTGACTATAAAAGCTATCCACTGGATGGAAACAATTGATGTGTTTAAAGACTTCTGAGCTAAAAATATTTATAGAAACTGGGGTGTTGTGGCAAGCACAAGCTCCATTAAACTTGTTATACAGGAATTTTGGTCCCCACCAACACAAAACAGGGTAAAGATGAATTTCGATGGCAGTTCTATAGGCAACTCAGGACCCTCGGGTATAGGGTGTTTTAAGAGATGGAGAAGGCAGAATTTTAGCATTGTTCTCGGGTCCAATGGGAGTGGGTGATTACGCAAAGCAGTTGGGACTACAACAAATAGAAATAGAAGGGGATTCAAAGATGGTAATAGGCTGGCTGCAATCAGGTAGTTCGGGAGCATGGATACATACAGTTGATGAGGGAATTATCAGACTAACAAGAGATTGGCATCTACTTAAGTGGACAAGAAGATCAGCTAATGGATTAGTGAATACATTAACAAAACAGGGGGATGTTAGGGGGAACATGTTCTGGGCAGTGTTGTAACTCAGTGATTGTATCTCAAACCCCTACACTAGGGGTGACAGTTGTGTTTTAAATTCTGTTTAATGAAGTTACTGATTCCAATAAAAAAAAACAGTGCTGAAGTAGCCTCTTCATGCTAAAATGCCAAAGGTTAGGTCCATTTCTTATTCAATCCAACCCCTCCCAGGACCCAGACAACTGGGACTAGCATTGCATGATGACCTTTGTAAAATACTAGACCTTCACCAACAGCAAACAGACACCATAGTGGTTTTTTTTTTTTTTGGTAATGAGCTACAAAACAGGGGATAGCCCTCCCTAAACCCCTAGAGCCTCCACAACCTGGTTGGAGGAAGGATTCAATCCCAGGTTTCCACTACAACCAAACTGAGACTTTACCAGCAGGCTAGCTGGTCCCTTCCACCATGTTGGCAATTTATGCAAACATTAACAGATGATTTAGTAAATGCTAGAGTTATGAGAAACCATTTTCAAAATTAAAAAGCATCTGCAAGAGCATAAGAGCAGATATCTACCTGTGCCATCACAAATTCATAATTGCTCTTAAACCGCTTCATCATCTCACAAACTGGTGTTGCCAATAGTTTCCCTGTACCACCATTGCTGATTCCAGAGACAAGAGCAATCAAAGCTGTTGTATCAAAATTTAAAAGATCATCACCCAAAATAGCCCTTTGTTTTGAAGATTCCATATCTTGGTTGTCCAGTTTCAATGTCAAAATTAGGGAACAAAATGCATCACCTAAGGTTAGTTGGCTTTGTTTATCAGCCCAATCTGGTGTAACAGCTCCCAAAAGTGGACATGTACACCCCTGGCTTGACTCTGAAGAAGTGCTATAGTGCTCAACCTTTAATTGGAAGATGATTGCCCTTCTGTATGATCTAGAAAAATCATTAACCCATTCATATTCCAAGTCCTTAGAAAAATCACAATCAAATTCAGAAAACTCTTTGCCAAATTGAGAGGCCCCAAATTCATTTAGAAGCTTCTGAGTAACAACGTCGTCAAGTCCATTTGAAAAGAAAAGAATGACTGAGAATGGTTTTAACATCAGACAGGACTGTGCCGCTGAAAGAACCTTCTCTACACGTGCTCTTAGCCCCTTATTTTTGTGAGATCCTAACCATGAGATGTATTTCGGGTTCCTGTCTGACACAATAAACCAGACTGGTCTTCTATCAACAGTACAAACTATATCAACATGGATGCCCTTGGAAGAACATTTTCTTTCTTCATTTTCTGATGACAGAGGAATAGGCTTGCACACACGTGATACTCCAGTTACGAATGTCTGCTGAAGAATGTGAACAACTGACTCAAGGTAACCAATGTTAGCACTGCAATATGATACAAAAGTTCAACTTTCATAAATCTTTTTATAGGAAAAATGTAAAACCATAAGTGTGTATTGAAGAATGTACTTTGATGCATATTCAAGAATCTTTTGGGTTCAGAAACTGAAGATAAAATTAAAGAGAGGAAAATTGAAATTTCAAAGGATTTTGTGTTAGTCTTTCTGCTAATGATCCACATTTGCACTAAGAAGACCAAACCCCTAAAAACCATGAGCAATAGAAACATCATACTCAGAAGCTTCATCTCATGGCTCATACATGGGCAGAATTCCAAAGGATTACATTTCACAGAATTGTGGATGCAGAAAGCTACCATGCTTAGAAGGTAACTTGAATGAAACTCATGTAGTTTAATATTCTGCAAACTGATAACCTAATTTGAATAACGAAAAGTTTTAGTCACAAATTTATGGTTGAGTCTTGAGACACTAAATCATATTTCAAATAACTAATTAATAACATCTCAGAAGATAATTTTTGTTCTCAATGTCTATATTCTTTACTTCTGTTTAGGCTGTTCATACAAATCTTTGCTTTTTTTCAGAGGATCAAATATAATGTAAGTGCTGAGAATGGAATAGCTATTATCTCAGGGCTGTGGTTAGTTTGAGGGAGATGGATGAAAAAAATAATAAAGAGTTCAGTTTGGTTTTGGAGAGAAGGGTATCTTAGTCTTGGGGACAGTCTAATAACAGCTGAAGTAGAAGAGTTATTGTTTTGTCTTTTAGTAAATGTTATTAAGTAGGTTCTGAGCTCCTAAAGGTTGATTTTCACCACTCTTATGAGGGAGGTGGATGAAAAAAAGTAAGAAGAAAATTTTGGTTTGGTTTTTTATGAGTAAAGAATTTGGTTTGGTTATAGGAGAGAAAAAGGTATCTTAGTCCTGGAGGCTGTTTGATAACAGCTGAAGTAGCTGTACTGGAAGATGTGTTGCTTTGACTTCTAGTAAATATTATTAAGTAGGTTGTGAGCTCCTTAAGGTTGATGTTCACAACTCTTAACATACTCCATATGAATTCAAATATATTAATTGCAGTCATTCCTCCACATCTTTGAACTTAGAACATAAATAGAGACACAATAAGAGAGCCAATTTATCATTAAAAATTACAGAACTGGCACTATAATTAAAAAGGAAAGAAAAAACTCAATAATGCCTTTTTTATGAATAATAAAATAACAAAGCATTTCATTAAAAATTTTTTAAGATGGATTTACAACTGATACAGCATGTTGTTTTCCCAAGAGGCGCAAGAAGCTGCCTCAACAAACAAGATAAATTACAGTGTAGCCCAGAATAATTGATCCCTATTCACCCCTTGCTTAGCTAGTAGGTCTGCCAACCCATTTTCCAATCTTCTCTCCTACTGAACTATGACTGTTAAATTAGAAGTTGGCCATTTGAATCTTCTCATCGCCCCCCTGAAAGGCCAAGCTACTGTCTCCAGTTCTTTCAGCCACCCAATTACCACTTTAGAGTCTCCTTCTATGACCAGATTTCTGAAGTTCATCTCTTTAGCGATTTGAGCCCCCTGTAAAACAGTTTGAACCTCTGCACTAACCATATCCCCCACTCCAATTGGACCAGAGAATAAAGCCACTATCTGGCCCTCTGCATTCCTGAATACTCCTCCAATCCCAGAGTGCCCAGGATTACCGAAGCTGCTGCCATCAAAGTTTAGTTTTGTGAAACTTTCTTCCGGGGGCTTCCAGGCTAGAACAGGTTTGTCCTTAACCAAAGAAGCTTTAGCAACTAGTTCCCAGTTTCTCCATATGCCATCAAAGGAGAATAGTGAAAATAGATCCAAAGCTTTAGCCCAGTTAATAGCCCTAAACAGCAGATATTCCCACAGAATCTTCATCCCTTTCTTTATCATTAAATATTTCGTTATTTCTTAAAAAACTCAATAACGCTTAAACTACTCAATCAATGACAATGATACTTTATATATAAACAAACTATAGCTAGAAAAATCAGATGATAAATCAGGACAAGAGGCAATATATAAAATGACCAGAAATACCCCTACTATCAAAAATTACAAAAATACACAGGAAATTAAAAAAAAATGATTTCTTTGTTCCTGCATTTGGTTTTAAAGGGGAAAAGCCCAGAACTTTGTCTTGGTAACTTGGTAGTTGGGGATGTTTTGCTGGGTATTGGTTCACATTTTGGCTCACCCACATTTAGTTTTCTGAGTTCTGTCTAGGTATGGCACTTTGGTCTGACTTTGTTCTTTCTTTTTTTTTAATAGGAAACGGTAACTTTCATTGACGATTAGAAAATATTACAGATTTACCACCCATAAAATGGATGGAATATCAAATCAATATCATACAAACAATCCCAAAACAAAGTCTCCCTAGTAGCTCCTTGCTTAGCTAAAGTGTCAGCCATTCCATTTACTGACCTTTTTTTTTTATCAGTTCCATTTACTGACCTTCTTACCCATTTAAATTGCACTCCAATCCCCCTTGCTAAGCTAATAATCTTTCTTAGAGGCTGTCTAAGAGACCAAACTCCCAAGTTTCCAGATTGCATCCACCCTATTACCAGCTTAGAGTTTCCTTCCATTTCTTTGCTGCATTTCCCATTGTTTCACCAGTCTCAATCCTTGAAGTAAGGCCATTACTTCTGCCCTTAAAGAATCTCCCATCCCAATTGGGCCTGAGTAAAGGGCCAAGACTTTTCCTTCCTCATTTCTGAACACACCCCCAACTCCTGGCTGACCTGGATTACCCAAGGAGCTTCCATCAAAGTTTAACTTCACCCTGAACTAAAGCGGTGGTACCCAACTCTCTTATACCACAGGGGAGGGAGAGGATACAGCTATAGCACTCCAATTTCTAATTAAGTCAGCTGAGGGAAAGTCCTTGAAGAGAGGTTGTACTTTCAGCCTAACCTTGATGGTGATAACCTCAAGAAGTGCTTCCTTGAAGAGATGCTGACTTTGTTCTTTCTTCATGGGCTGTTTTCTTGTAGTTTGGTGCTGTTTTAAGATCTACTTTAGAGCGATTAAATATAGAGTATGTGTTGGCATGGTGGGGAGCTGGTCTTGTGGGTTACCTTTTCCCTTTTGTATACCAGCTGGTTGTGACATCTTGTCAGTAGGGCCAGTCTTTTTTTTAAGTTGTTGCTTCCTGCCTTTGCATCATTTTCTTTTCATCCATTTTCAGTTTACTATGAAGAAAATTAATCAGGAAACATGGGTTTCTAGTTTGGGCCAGATGAAATGACAATTGTCTACCTTATGACAACTTGGAAAGGAATTGTGGTATCGTTTGGATTCATTAGCGTAATCTGTTATAGTATAGAAGATAGTGCAAGGGTAAAAACTTGGAATATATATGGTGTGATAATCTATCTACCTCTTATGTAATCCCTTATCTGAGGCAGCAATTGATAAGAATATGTTGGTGAAGGATCATTCTGAAATGAGTTCTGAGTTGTGGTCTGAGTTCCATGATTTCATCATTAGCTAATGACGGGGAAATTGTTGCAATAACTCCCCTATTGATTCAAGAAAATGATTATTTATTCCTTGAGGTTCTTAGATAGGTCACTTTATGTGCATTTTCAGAGGAGTTGGTTATTATACTTCTAAGCTAGTGTAGAAATTATATCTCCAAAGCGAGCTCTCAGGTATGACACCCTCTTTCAATAAATGTCTTAGTGTGGATAAACTGGTTAGTAAAGGATGAGAGGACAACCGACACTTGCATCACTTATGATGAGGATGTAAAACCAGCAACCACCTATTCCGGCACTTATGGTCCCATTTGGTGTGTTGGACTTGCTTGTTAACCGGAACTTGAGGGGTGTCAGCAAAAAAGGAGAGTGTTCAAGCCCTAAAAAATTTTGTTTTCATGCCTCCCAGTGTCCCTGGTGCATCCTTCATGGAAGGAGCAATGTCAATTCGTCAAAAGTGTCATGAAAATAGAATTCTCTTGGATGTGAAACAAAGAATTCCCATCGGTTCTCTTGAACTATCATGGATTCTCTTTTATCTGCAAATTCGCTAAACTAAACATATTCTTGGAGAAACCGCTCCCCTAATAAATGGCATCTTGCGGTCCATGGGCTGTAATATAAATGGGATCTTTTCTGGAATACTAATAAGGAACCCTTTTTATCTTTCACGTACCGATTGTAAATCCATTAAAATACTCTGTTTTATTACTGATCCAGATATTTCAAGACGAAAGTCCCTAAGACCAAACCAGGTCAGTGTACAAAGAAGTGACATGATAATGAATTTCATCCAAGACATTAGTTCAATTTCAATTGAATAACAGCCCTGTTGTCGGAGAAAAAGAGTAACAAAACAACAGTACGACATTCCTACCGACAAAGACCATTGTTACTGCATACCTAATAGGACCGGAGAAATCTGGAGAAGCCGATGATAAACGGGAGAGGAAATTAAGCTCTGAATTTACCAATCGGAGAAGTGTTTGCTTGCATGAATCCGTGACCTTCGAGAGAGGTAAGCTTTGAACCCGGTTTGCAACAGCTATGCATCTTTCCTTCGCTTCCTCGATCCGACGAATTGGACTCATACTGGATAATGGTTATAGTAAACAGTCGAAAGAAAGGCTGCGATACTCACTACTCTCTCTCTCTCTCTTTCCCTCTCTCTCTATAGTCTCTTCATCTCCCCTCCCCCCCCCCCTGCAAAGTGCCTAAACGAAAACTGGGGTGCTCACCGTTCGGTTAACCGAACCGTGGGTTTTTCTTGAACCGAACCGACTTGATCGGTTTTTTAAAAATCTAAACCGAAATCGAACCGATGTAACCGGTGGTGGACCAGTTAACCGCGGTTCAGTTTTTCAATTTTTTTGCACTCAAAATTAAGAAAAAACCGAACCGTGGGGTTTTTTTAACCGAACCAACTTGATCGGTTTTTTAAAAATCTAAACCAAAACCGAACCAATGTAATCGGTGGTGGACCGGTTAACTGTGGTTCAGTTTTTCGATATCTTTTTTGCACTCAAAATTAAGAAAAAAGGGAAAAAATACCTAAACAAACATTGCAGAGGGGCGAGCCAATGAGGTTGGACTGGTTAGTGGTTGTTGTCGCCTGAAGTAAAAGCCTAAGAGGTGGCGGAGCCGTGGAGATGAGAGATGAGAGAGACAATGATAGGGCCTAGGAGGTGGCAGTCCTAGTGGAGTTGAGGCGGTGACCATTGTCTTGGTTGGTTGTTATAGGGTGAGCAAAAAAATCGGAGGGTGGCGACCGGCGTCTTGATGGTTGTTGTGGCGGAGACGGAGATGACAAGCGATAGAGAGAGAAAGATGCACAAGGAAGCAACAAAGCAAGAGGAAAACTGGCCACTAGGTGAGACTTGAGAGGCCATCGGCCTAAGGATGACCAGCATCGGAGAAAAAACTGGGGATTGGGGAAGATGAAGAGAGTCAAGAGACAAGTTGAGAGAGTGAGAAAGCCAAGGGTTAGCCTACTACCTATTACATTTACTGGTTTAGGTTTCCAAGAAGGGGAAACTTGGAAAGGGGGAAAACTAAAAAGGCACCAAATAGATAGAGTGGCAGACGCGCGCCAGGTAAGGTTATTCAATTTTAAAAAATAAAAATATAATATATAATATATACAATATACAATATATTATTGTATATATACACCGGTTGGTTGGGTTAATTGTCGGTTTTTGTACAAGGTTAACCGAAACCGAATTGAAATTTTCGATTTTTTAAGAATATCAAACCGAATTCGGTTTTGGTGGGTTTGGTTTTCCAATTTTTTTGCTCACCCCTAACGAAAATAGCACGGTGTATCGCATATGGGATAGGATGAAATTTTGGGCCAGATTAGTTTGAATTAACCCAAAATAAAAGTCGAGGTTGGAATCGGGTATGGCATCGGATGATTTAGATAGATACGTTTTAGAAATGTATCGATATAGATGAAAAATATAGAAAGCTTGTATACATTAATTAAATGCATATAAATATATTAATAATATTAAGTTTAATGTCATAAATAATATATAAAATACGTAAAATATATATATATATATATATTTTAATAATATATATAAAGAAGTACATTATAATTAATATAGAAGGATGCATATATATCATACAAGTTTTAGTGATAATGCATCAATTAAGAGTCCAAGACACATATTATATAGATTTTTACAAATTAAAACATGCACAAAGCCATTATAATGTTATTTTCTATCAAAGTCCAAGGCACCAAACATAAATAACTATTATATTTGAATTATTATATCAGTTATTTTCTATTTTATTATTTTTAATTTTTAACATTAACAAAAAGGTCAAGTAAAAAACTAATTCTAAAATATTTGGTAAACAATATTTTTATTTTTATATAAAATAAATATATTATTACAAAATATAAATTAATAATTTATAAAAATATATAATCTTAACTTAAAATATATCAAATCTATTAAACTTTAAAAGATACATATCAAGTGCAAATTCATAAATTTTTATTACTAAAATAATTGTTTCATTATTATTTCAATTTATATTCTTAAATATTTTGTACAGGAATAATTTTACTCTTGTAAATATTAAATGCATTGCTATTTAATGAAAATTGAAATATTAATTAGTAATTTATAAAAATTTTAAGATGCATATCATTTGCAAAATTATATCTTTTAAGTATTAAAATAATTATTCTGCTATTAATATTTTTATTTATATGAATTTCTTGAAATTAAAAATTATTTTTGATTAAATATGGATATGGTAAATTATTTATTCCATTAGTTATAAAACACTATTTTTGAATATTATTCTTTTTAAACCTTGGTTGGAACAATAGAAGGATGATCATGGGCCAAGTTTAGTGCCTTTAATAAGGATAAGGCCATAAGGGCTATAGCTCGGGCTGGATTTGGTCCAACCAGGGTTATGGGCTTGACACATAAGTGTGGGCTAGGCCTAGTCCATGTCAGACTATATATATATTCTCCCAAGGGAAGGTAAAAGCGATGTAATTCTTCACCCTCGGAGAGATGCCTAGGCACTTTCTGATCTTGTGGTTAATGAATTGTGGAATCTCTCCCTGACCAGTCCCTCAAGGTTTCTCATTAAATGTTAATGCTAGTTTTACAAACAAATTTGATAAATGGTCGAGTAAGAAGATAGTGTTGCATAAGTGGGTCTGACCTAGTTAACCTGGCCTGAACCTAGGTCAAAGCAAACCGTTTTGGGCCAAGAAATGTCTAATAGAAAGTTAAAAACCTTTAGTAATTAACAGTTAAGAACTTTCTAGAATTGCAAAGTGCTAAATATTACCTAAGAAATATTCCAAACTAAGGGTACAATTGGAAAGACCAAGCCAAGGTAAGAAATAGGAGCTCCAAACCCATTTCAAGGGGCTTTGGGGGTGGATTTTAGGACTCTTAACCTCTCAATCATTGGAGGCCCATTCACTCTCTCTCTCTCCTACAACCACTGGCTCACTTTCTTTATCTCCCCCCGTTGGAATTCCAATTTCTGTGAATTACAATGGCTGTCAGAGGGTATGTAGGTAGCCCCTTAAGGGGTATAGTTACCTTTATTTTTCCTCCTTTCCCCTTTCTGATTAATCTTGTCACTTTTTTGGACTTTCAAGTCATAGACCGCATCTCCACCACCTTATAGTAAGAATCTTTGGTTTAGTTCTAATCTCTAAAGGAAGGTGACTCCCAAAATTCAAGTCCATATCACAAATTCCAAGGGAAAAACAAGCATGAAAATTTCTGGTCATGAGGATGATGAATGGAATCAAACAGATATGTGATTCCAACCTTTCTTTTTCTTCTTTCTTTCATTTTCTCTTTATCTTCCATTTTATAGTTCTTGGATTGAAGTAGATCTGGATTGGCTTACTAAGATTTTTTCTTCTCCTTTGGTATCTCTTTTGTAGCCATTCTAGGAAAGTGGTTCATTACATAATAGAATTCCCAATTTGCGGTTGAAAATCCAGATCTAGTATCAATCTAATAGGCAAGATGGCGTTTAGCCGCATAATTGTTGTATGCAATACGGGTAAAAAGGCTTTATCATGTTAAGTTCATAGGTGAACAAAAAATTATTTAGTTCAAGTTTCCTTGAGAAAAGTGAAACAAAGGGCAATGGAAGGTTGCTTGTGGGAAATCCGATTCAACAGATTTTAACTAAAAACTAAATGATGTCATCCATAGCCTAGGGATAGAGGAGAGAGGAGCCAAGGGAAATGGAGAGAGAAAAAACTAAATGAAAAATCTAAAAAAGGAAAAAGGAAATATGATGCCACGTGATGTAGGCACACACACATGGCAGGCGGCGGCCTTGGATGGACACACTCTACAGGAAAGGACCACATCTTGACCGTCCGAGCCCACCTACCTCCAGATGGGCTCAAGTATAAATAGGGAGTAATTCCCTCTAGGTAAACATCTAGAATCTAGACTTGAAAATACTAAGAATTAACCCAGGCCTCTGACGTTCTCTCTCCTTTACTCCTTGCAGGCAAGCCTATCAACCCTCGGCTTCTCCAAGCCTCGGACTACTCAGCCACGCCTCGACTTGGAAGCAAATTGAAAGTATTGCCCTCAGCCCATTCTGACCGGCAACACCATGCATCGAAAGGAGAGAAATAAAAAGGGAAAATGAGAGAGAAAGATAGAGGAAAAGGCAAAAGGAATAACAATGGGGGAAATGATAGATGAAGATATGCATTGGAAAGCAGGGCAGTCACACATTTGACCCTCAACTATCATCCGTGCCTCACTCAAATGCTTTTGGTATATAGTTTTTTAGGTCATTTACTTAGACACCCCCTATATTCACATACTTGCTAAAACCTACCCTCCAGTTTGCATATTACTAAAACTTCCTATAGTTTGCAATTGTTTTACTTAGGCAGTGTTTGGCAAGTCTTTCTATGCGGTCTTCAAGGCTTCGACAAGCTTGAAAGATCGAAAATTAGTCTTTTTACGTTTCATAACCACAAGCTATAAAGATGAGAAGACATATGCGTAGAAAGACCCAAAAATATCGAAAATGCCAAATTTTGGAAAGCTTTAAATGAAGCTTTTTGGTCTTTTTGCATGATATGTAGTCTCTAAACGTGTTTTTAAAAGCTTGGTAGACTGAGTCACTTATCGATCATTTGACCGGTTCTTGGTTTTTCCAATCCGACTGTCCGGTCCGGTCCGGTTTTGAAAACCATGGACCAATGCCCCTTCATATTTTTGACATGCTTTAAGAGGTCATGTGACGATTCTCAAATGAAAATACAAATGATTCTTGATGGAGGATCAATTAAGTAAAACATATGTAAACTATAGGGGTAAAGTATATGCAAAATAGAGGGCAAGGTTCAAAATATCGGCATGTATCAACCCATATCGTTAGATATGTATCGTGTTGGTGGCTTCCCGATACACCCCTATAGGAGTTGTATAGGGTCATCCACTGGTTCAGAGGGTAGTCGGGCCTTAAACCCGCCTCTCTGAACCAATTTCAAACAAGAAATAAGAAACATAAAAAAAAGCACCAACACAGGCGATACGCCCTACCGGCGTGTCGGCCCATGTCGACATTTAGAACTTAATAGAGGGTAGATTTTAATAAATATATAAAACTATAGGGGTGTTTAAGTAAATGACCTTTTTTTTTGCTCCAAGGG